CCTTTATCTATGGGACTAGCCACTCTTCTCTTCTTCCTTACCCTTCCATCTTCATTATCTACCTGCTGTACCCCTTCTTCATTTTCCAACTGCACATACCTGTTCTTGAGCTCTATTTTTCCTTCACTGACCCATCTTTTCCTCTGCCTGGTCCTCTGAGTCACATGCTTCCACTATCCATTTTCTTCGCCCAGCAGTCCCCCCTCTGAGGCCCTTGATCCTGCTTCCATCTGCATATCTAAGCTTTCCCCTTTAGCCATGTCATGCCTTTGCCCCATCATCTGCTCAAACCCCCTTCTAAACTCGACCAGAGTTTCCACCTGCATCTCCAGTCCTCGGATCTTTTCTTCCATCAGTTCTATCATGCAAACAAAACTCCTTTCAGGTACCCCCTCCAGAATCATGTACGTACCGCAGCTACCACATCCAATCATCCTCCTTGTGTTCTCTACTCCTTGGGCCATGGCCACTAATGCCTTTATGTTTTATCTACTTTCTCACCAAAATCCTATTAGTCCGGTGAACACAAAAACAACACAAAAACAAACCAAAACACCCCCTCCACAGCAAAAACAAACTCCAATCAAGTTCCAATATCCAAACTCCCTTTACAAACTCCCACTCAAACTCCCCTGTTTACAGCTCTGTTTGCTTGGCTCCTGTGCCGCTGCAGCTATCTTTAGTTCCAGAGGAGCCCCTTGTTGAGGCCTGGGTTTGTCTCGAGGCATGCCAAGTGGCCCTGATGCCAGCAGCACACTTCTTACTGATGCCAAGGTTCTGGGCCACTCACGCCAGGATGGCTTGGATGCAAGGCAGAGGGCTGAGCTGGATATCCCTCTCCTTCTGTGTACAAGGCTGAAAGTCCTTACAAATCCAGCGCCTCTCTTTAAAGTGTCCTTCCCTATAGACATTTGAAGCAGCTGCCAGGGGGGTTGCTAAAAGGAATAGGCCTATTATAGGAATCACAGGGCCCAAAACCTGAACACTGGGCCAGGTCCCATTAGGACCCAACACTAACGATTAAATACGGCAATACATATTGAACAGTAAAGATGCCTTTGTAAAAGCCAGGCACAAAGTTCAAGACAAGAAAAATGCAAGTTCTTGATGAACAAGGAAAGACACTCTGAGATACCAGAGATAAGAGTGGCTGGGACATGCCAGCTGAGTCGGGTTTATAGGGCGTGGGCTGTGGGTCCATTTCATTGCATGTAGACTTCTGTACTTGGGCTCCAGGACCCTGCAGGGTGGGAGGGTCCCAGAGCTCAGAAGTCTGAATAACAATAAAACCACCAATGAGCATGAGCTGGCTAGCATGGACCAGCTGCGGGGTTTTCTTTGCTATGTATTCCTACTTTAAGTGGCTCAAAAGCTTGTGTCACTCACCAACAGTCAAATGAAAGTTACTATCCCATGAACACATAACTTAGCATTTAAAAAGAAATCCACAGCATTCTTTGCTCTGTTATGCTGAGAACTAGACCGGGTGGATGTCAAGGTTCTTTTACTACTATTATACAATAACCCCTCCACACTCTTGCTACTTGAGATCTGATTTAGGCTCTGATTCTGCAAACAACTTATACATGTAACTGTGACTAGAGTCATTAATGAATTGGGTTTAATTTTGTGTTAAAGGAGAGAGAGAGAGAAAATATATTTGCAAGATCAGGGCCTTAATTTGTAGAGCAAAGTCTTTTTTCGGGCAGTTACAGAAATAATTATTATTATATAGATTTCTAGAGCAACCTTCACTCAGACCACTTTTGTACATGCAGTATAATAGAGCCATTGCTTACATGCAGTGTAGGAATGTTAAAATCTGATTAATCCATTAATCAAATAGTCAATGGAATTTCCATTGACTATTTGATTAGTCGATAAGGGCGCTTTCACTTTGAAATGTAGCAAGAGCCACCTGGCTGTTGCTACATTTCAAAGGTGGAAGTGCTGCCTGGCATTGTCTTTGAAATGTATAAGAACCTCAGCAAAGGCTTGTGTGCATTTCAAAGATTGAAACACTGCATGGAGCCTGGGGCCATCAGGGGCTTTGAGTTCCCCTGCTGGTCCTGACCTAGAGATGTGAACAACTAGTCGACAAATGCTTATCACATAGTTGATATGCTCAGGGCTTGGCAAACGGCGGCGAAATTTTCTCTCCAGCCCCGCACTGCGCATGTGCAAGACCCGCATTGCGCATGCCGCCGGAGAACGGGGCGACCAGCTGAAATCTACTCGCCAGGGTGAGTAGATTCAATGATCTGTCAAGCCCTGGATATGCTAGTTGCTCCCCCCCACCCTGCTGCCTCTATCAGAAAGAGGTAGCAAGTGGTGGGGGGAAAAGGAAGGGGTGCTTCAAAGTGGCAAAGCTGCATGGAGCCCTGGGTCTGCCACTTTGAAATGCTGCGTTCAGCCCGGACTCAGCTGGGAATCGGCTTTGAAAGGCCACAGGGAGCATGGATCTAGCAGGGTTCTGCTTGAGTCCCCCACTGGCCCCATGCTCCCAAGAGCTCTTTCGCCATTGAAGTGTAGCAATAGTCTTGGGGCTGCTGCTACATTTCAAAGGCAGAGACGCCCTTATTGACTAATTGAAGAGTCCATGCAAATTGCATCGATTAGCCAATTAATCAAAATTTTACATCCCTAACCCAAGCTCCATGTGGCACTTCCACTTTGAAATGCCGCATGGAGCCCAGGGCCAGTGGAGGACTCAAGAGTCCCCTATGGCACCAGGCTCCATGCAGCACTTCCGCTTTGAAATGTGGTCTTTTTCCCCTCCTGCTTCCCCCCCCACTCTTGCTGCCTCTTTCTGATAGAGGCAGCAAGTGGGGCGGAACGACTAGTCAATTAGAGTGTCGACTATCTGATAAGCTTTTGCTTGTGCAGTGAAACATCACATACCGTCTTGAAACACTTGAAACAACTAGCTAACCCTCATGCCTCACCCCCATCCATCTCAATTCACCCTTGCCTATGTTTTACTAAAAGTATCTGGAAAAAGCTCTCAAACATAATTCTGCAACCATGCTTTCTTTTTTATTCTCTACAGCCACCTGTACAGGACCCGTCCAACCATTCAAAAATAAATATATAAAAAGGGATACCACAGATTTTTTTAATTGCTATATAGCAGCTTTATCATTTTTCAAATGTATATAAAACTTTGATCCTGCAACACGAAAAGGAGTTATGTAGGAAAAGCATCTTGCTATTTGTAGCTTGCTATTTCCTGCCACCTAGTGGAGGAAAAAAGCTTTATATGCAAACAAGACAGGAAATATTATTTTGGTCAGAAAGACATTGTGATTTTAATATCTCTTGAAAATGTATCTTTAAAGATTTTATTGTCTTCCCTTATTTAAAAAAACATTAGAAAATCAAATCTATTTCCTATCCAATATTTTCGCTTCAGTGCACACACTTGTCATTGTAGGGCTCACTAAAAAGGTTGGATGACTGACGTTCATTTTAATTCTCCAAAAAGAATCTTCAAAAAAAATGGATTTTGTCATCAGATATAGAAGAGGGGAACAAAATTATGTCTTTTTAAACATGTCCCAGAAAGCAGAGGCAGCAGCAGTACTGTGAACTTGGCACATAGGAACTGAGCTTCTTTTGCACTTCCATACACTTATACAGATTACTTTCCTGGCTCCCCAGCATCAGGGTTGGGGGATGCAGACACAAGGAGCACAGCTGAGAACTCAAGAGAAGAAGGCTGCACAGTGGAGAACATAAGTAACTGGTGGGGCTACATTAAGTTATGAAAAATACGGGAATGACATTTTTTCAAATCACACACATTTTCAAATATCAGAGGAATAGGATGAAGTTTGAATTTGTATTGTCTGTCTTTTTACTACAGGAGCTCCCCCAAAAGTCGGACTTTCCAGACACATTTTTAAAAAATCTTCACTTTTAAATGTTGCCTCTGAAAAAAAGTTAGTAATTTTGACCAAATAAATAACAGAGTTGTCTTAAAATGTGGAGTGTAAAATGAAATACAGAATGTGAAATGAAGGGATTTGAATCCTGTTTTCTATGCAAATTTCAACTATAGAACTAACAGGATAACTCAATAATAATAATTAGGTCATCTAGAAAAACAATGAGGAGTCCCATAACACCTGAGAGACTAACAGATTTATTAGAGCATAAGATTTTGTGGGTAAAATCCACTTAATCAGTTTTACCCATGAAAACTTATGCCCTAATAAATCTGTTAGTCTTTAAGGTGCCACAGGACTCCTTGTTCTCACAGAGACTGACTAACACAGTTACCCCTCTTAGACTTGGTCACCTATGCTACACTAAAACAGACACTCTCTCCCTCCCAAAAAATTTAGAGATTTTGGTGAGACAAACAAGTTATTAAAAGCCTTCTGTTTTCAAGGTAATTATATCATTAGTCCCTTTCAGACAGTTTTTCAAATGTGACTGTAAGATTTTGCTTGTTTCAATATAATAATATTCTCTTCTTCACACTCTTCAAGAATTAAATAAAAATATGAAAAAAACATTACAGAGAAGGACTGATGCTTCCCTTGGTAACATTTACCTTTGACATCTGGCTAAAATCTGCAAAACCCTCATTGCTATTGAAGGCACCACTTCCAAATGGGTCTAACGTTCCAAAAGGATCTGAAACAAGTATAGAACAAAGCTATATACTTTTTATTTTGTTTAAAATAATACCTAGACTGGGGAAAAGTCTACTGTCACTAATGTAGACCACTAGACAAATTTAAAAAGGACACCAACATAAAGAAGCCCTCTCGATACTAGTGCCAATACGCAAAATATTTAATAAATTCACATGAAAGTCATGCTTTTCTCTTTATGATGCTGTTAAAATCACCACAAAGTCTGTTTAAGTCTGAGCTGATACCTACAACATGATTTTATAAAATATTTGCTATAAAATACTATCCAGTCAGCAATCATGACTTCGGTGAACTAGAAGATTGATCAATTTATTTTCCTTGGGTGAAAAATTTGGCAGTAACAAAACATGCACTGTTTCCAAGATGAAAAGACAAAAACTCTGAGTTGAACTTCCATCTGTTTACCTCATACTTAACTCTCTGTAGGTGGTAGTTTATTTCAATGATGTTTACTGAGACTTTGTCTGATGCTTAAGGACTTATTTGCATGGAGATATGCAGGAAAATTGATCTGAATTAACAGCAGGTATGAATTTGAAGTTAATTATTTAAACCACATTAAACCTCTGTACCCTCGTATACAAAAGGCTGTTAAAAGGAGGAGGGAGAAAAATTACTCTCCTTAATGTCTGATAAGACAATTGCAGCAAGGGAGGTTTAGGTCAGACATTAGGAAAAACTGTCAAGGTGGTTAAGCACTGGAATAAACTGTGGAGGGTGGTTATGGAATCTCCATCATTGAAGATTTGTAAGAGCAGGTTAGATGAACGTGGTGCTTAGTTCTGCTAAGCATGGAACTGGACTTGATGACCTCTTTGAGGTTCCTTCCAGTTTTATGATTCTATGATTCAGAAGTAAAGCGGCCTTAATTTGAATTAGTTAAGATAAATCACACTGCTTTAATTCCAAAAGATGGGCTGTGTCTACACTGGGCCACTTATTCCGGAAAATCAGCCGCTTTTCCGGAATAAGCTGCGAGCTGTCTACACTGGCCCTTGAATTTCCG